GCTTAAGGGCGGTGGACCGTTTCATAGAATCAATTGGCCTCGAGTTCCCGGCCCAGTAAAATCCTCGTTATCCACCCGCTCAGCAACCTCCTGAACTTTCGCGACGTCGATGCCACTCCCGCATGGGGGCCTGGACGTGAAAAATTCGCATGCGCTGTTCCTTTCGTTGATAGCTGTTCCATTGGCAGTGGCCTTGCGCACCGCGCAACTGCGCGGCTTGCCATCGCCGTCGCGGCTCAACGCGATCTCGTTGCCCGACTCGACCACGACGCGGGCTGATCCCAGCACCGCGTCTGCGACCTTGCGGGCACGCTGACCCCTATTCCACGTTCGTTACACCTGCAGACGATACGTTGGCCATAATTGCGCATGGCGCCACCATTCGCGGCGCTGCAATGCTCGCCAGCCTCGGACGCGCTCGCGGGCATAATAGGAAAGCGCGCCCCCCTGCTGGGATGTCCCACAACGTTGCAAGCCCCCGAGTCCATCTCGGCGGGCTCGGTCGCTTCTGGCACAGCATTACCCTCCTGCGCGTCGGTCGACGTCTTTACCCATCCCACATCACGACACCCTTGTAACCAGCATTTCTCGTTCCTCGCGAAGTCGCCAGACTTGCCGCCCCTCAAATATCCGCGATCGCACCCGTTCCCGTTGTGGCGCCGCTGGCAAAGACTCCGCATGATGACAGCCTTGATCCTGATAACCTTTTTCTTTCTCGTGTTTCGGCTCGCCCCAACTCTCGGGCTCGCGGTTCACGGGCGGCCCAGGGGCGCCAGCAACTGCGGGCAACTCCACGCTGTCGCAATCATGAGGCTCGCCTAATACAGTGGGCCCCCCACCCTGTGACTCGGGCTTTTCTACCGCCGCGCGCCCTTTGCCTCCGCGATTGCCGCGCCCTCGCCGGCCGCGCGGAACACACTCCCCGGGCGCCGTCACCGCCCTGTCCGCACAACTGCCCCTTGCCGCCATCCTTCCGAATAAGAAATTGCCCCGGAGGGCGCGATCCTTTACCCTTGTAACACCTCTTACCTATGTTCCACAACTTGCGCCGTAAACCCGGGCTTCTTGCAGCCCCTCGATGAATGTCCCATACCACCTCAGTTGTAACACTTGACGTCGCCGGTGCCTTTCCCTTTGGTAACGGCATCGACGTTCCCTAATATCCGAATCGCCCTCCTGCCAGTTGCCCTCGTCTGACCACCACTAACCTCCCTCGTCAACCCAGTCCTGAATATCCCATCCTGATGGGTCCTGCTAATTTCCTCTAGTGCCTTTAACGCCGCCAACATCCATTGCGCCGTTGTTCTTTGCGTCGGCGTCTAACCTCCTCTTCTTCTTGGCCCAGTCTTCATACTTGGCGTTAAACTTTCTGATGAAAAGTAGCCAGGTTGAACCCATCTGGTACGATGTATAATCCCTGCTGCCATACATCAAACCAGCCACTGGCGTGGGTCACGATCGTTCGAAAGGCGGCGAATTTGAAAAGCACCGGCAATGAGTCGGCCGTCCCGTACTTCCCGAAGGTCTCCACTAAGGCGTTGCACTCCTCGAGCTTTGAAACCGCACTCGTTATTCCGCGTCGGTTGCTCTGGGGTCGTGGCCGGCGACATCGCTGGGGCTACGGTAACTTCGGCGACCGCGGAATATCATTCGTATATCCTCTGGTTAGCCGTGAGTCCGTCTCCACCCAATAGTCCCTTGAGCTTGCCGCGTGGCTCGGTGCCTTCGAGCTTCTCATAAAAACATACCGGATACCGGATGTCTTCAGCTTATGAGGTCATATCCTCCTCCGTGAACTCGAAGTCGCCCTTGTCGTCATCAACGCTGCGGCGCTGCATTGACGCTCCTTGATTTTCGAAAAGCGTTACGCGCCCATTCAAGATACTCCGAAAGTCATCCGACCCATCTCTGGAACAGTGCCGTCCATTGTCTCGAGCTTGCGCTAACGCGTTAAACAGCCCATCGTTCCACTCACGGAAATTGTCCCGTTCGGTGTTAACGTCTTGGCACTCTGGACGCCCTTGAGCTCGTTGATCGGTGCGCCTCCACCAATGCTGCGCGGGCCTCTACCTGCAATTAATAGCCTCACTGGGCTCAGGAGATCTCGTTCAACGCGTCGGCTTGTATGTGCGTCAGAATCTCCATGGCCTCGCATCTCGTAACAAGTTTGCGCGCCTCTCTCGACTTTCGAGTTTTTGCTGATGACGCTCACCAGCATGGCGTTCATCTTCCATTGCATCTGTAGCATCTCGAACGCCCACCTTTGGGTAACCCCGGGGGTGCCCATGGATATCCGGTCGGTAACAAAATTGGAGATCCCCTCGTGCGTGGCCTGTGACACGATCTTGGCGTAGTCGAAGTTACCATCGACTGTCGACATGCTGCACATACCCGTGTACCTGGTCGGGTCTAGTTCGATCCATCCTACACGATCAGCAAGTACTTGAAGGTCGATGGGAGGGTTGCCAGGACCAGGGACTAACGCAGATGATCCATCTGCCGACATTGCAGCCGACGCACCTCTACCGTGCAAAAAGTCCACAAGAGGATTTAGCCCAGCAGCGTGGACTGTGATGATTTTTGTCTCCGTTTAAACGAACGGGCAAATAGCTAGCTCCGATCGTTAAAGATTGAGCCAAACACCGATGGTATTCAACAAATTGAGCTACACTTGCTTCCCCTGTTGCCTGATCATATTTCAACACTTCCTCCGGGTCTGCGTTGCATGGGCCCCTAGAGAATCGGTCAAGGAGGAGGGACGTGCGCAAATTCTTTCAAAATCAATCCCAAAATCCCTCTTTGTCTCGAAACTGATAAGTTTTGAGCCCCGTCCAACCGATGCGACGAGGGGGGCCATTCCTTCCACCTTTCTGCTGGCCACAACCAGTGCTGGGCCACCTCAGCACCCCAGCCGGCTCCGACTCCTGCCTTCCCCCCGGCCGACTTTGGCGCGCAGCCCCTCCTCGGTGGTCAGCGACGGAGGGGCAGCGGCCACAAACGGTGGGTCGCTCCACTCCCTGCGCACGGGGCGTTCCTGGGCGCCAGCCCGAGCGTGGTGCAACGAGAGGAGGTACACAGAGGAGTAGCAGGAGGAAAAGCAGGAGGAGGAAGAAGGGAGGAGCTGAAAGAAAAAGGAGGGCGAGAGGCTTCCGAGTCGCGCCGGGCGCCGTCCCCACTCCGCTGCTGCACGCCAGCCGCAAACTTCTGCTGCACAAGCGAGCAGTGCGACAGGGCTGCGTGCCGCGGGCAATCATCGGGGACTGGTGTGGCCCCTGGTTCCTGGTGCGGCTTGGGGGTGCCGAGGGGCCTGAGCGAGCGGGGACGTTGGAAGAATATGTGTTGCCCTTCCTCCTTCCCCGTCTCTCCGACAAGGCAGGTGCTCGTGGCGTCGGACCTCAAGTCAGACGCTGACGTGAACACAGCACCGCACCGCAAGGCGGGTGCGCTGGAGGGCCGCCGAGCGGGCGGGCGATGAGCTACTGGTCGCCGCGCGACGGGAGCTTCCCCAGAGAGGCCTGCTCGGAGCGGCCCAGGCCGCAGGAGGAGAGCGGCCTCACTGGAGGAGGAGGAGAACGAGGAGGAGGAGGAGGAGGAGGACTGGTGTAAACCCAAGAGCCATCAACGATGTTGGAATTAACCCTCCCTCCAAGCTCCCTCTTCATAGGCCCCTACAACGGTTCATTTCCATTGAGGCAACTGCCTCGTTGGAAGACAGCCGTTTGAAAATCCTGAAGCATGCCAAAACATTGTTCTCGGGATGTCAACGCCACGTATCAACCTGACTGCTGCGTTTTGGCGATCCGGAGACTCGCAATAACGTCAGTTTTGGATCTCGGCACCGCGAATCAATATAACCATTGCATCCGCATCGTCCTGAATCCTTCCAAAACACAAGTTTGGATACGTTGACCATGGGAATCCGTGAACCCTTTGCAATGTTTGAAAACGAATGTGCGCGGCGCTGGGGCGAGAGCCACATTTTGAAAACCACCCGCCCTCAATCCGCGAAACTCTTGCAAACGTTGAAGACGAATGCGCGCGGCGCTAAGGCGAGAGCCACATTTTGACAACCACCCGCCCTCAATCATTGAAGCTCTTGCAAATGTTGAAAACGAATGTGCGCGGCGCTAATGCGAGAGCCACATTTTGAAAACCGCCCGCCCTCAATCCGTGAAACTCTTGCGAATGTTGAAAACGAATGCGCGCGGCGCTACAGCGAGAGCCGCATTTTGACAACCACCCGCCCTCAATCCGTGCAGCTCTTGCAAATTTGTACAAAGAATGTGCGCGGAGTTGAGGCGAGAACCACATGTTGAAAACCACCCGCCTTCAATCCGTGACCATCTTGCAAACTTTGAAAACGAATGTGCGCGGCGCTAAAACGAAAACTACATTATGAAAAGGAACCGCCCTCAATCTATGAAACTCTTGCAAATTTTGAAAGCATTGTGCGCGGCGCTACGGCGACAGCCACAGTTAAAGAACGGCCCGCCCTCAATCCGTGAAGCTCTTGCAAATTTTGAAAACGAATGTGCGCGGCGCTACGGCGAGAGGTGATCGTTCGTGAGAACAGCGGGTTTCCTCCCGCCTCGTAGCCTCCTCTCCTGCTGTCCTCCTCCGCCGCTGTTTGCTCGAGGCTCCTGCGGAGCCGCGAATATTTTTGGGGTGGGCGGGCGGGGCCATAGCACGCGCACTCCGAGGAGTGCTGGGTAGTGGCTGGGCCAGGTCCCCCCTCCAGTGCGGACGGGGGCTCCGGAGGGGAGCCCCGCGGTCCGCAGCGGACGCGTAGACGCCCTCGAGGGATCGCTCGAGGATGAGGCCTGTCCATGGGCTAGAGTGTACGTTGGCCTTGGCCATGGGCGCATTGGCCACGTGGCTTGACGTGTCCTTCAGCATCAACTGGTACGCGGCAGTCCACGCGTCGGCTACAGTGACGGGCCCCGAGGAGGGAGGTCATGAGCGCGCTGGGCCCGATGACGAAGGAGGTGAGCAGCAGGCTTCTCCGGACGAGATGCGTGGAGCCAGCTGCAGTACTGCGGACAGCGACGAGCTGCTAGCGGTGGAGGCGCCGGTCAGGCCACGTCCATCGGCAGCGCTCCCTGCTCCGAGCGAGCCCTTGGTCACGGACCCGCCACCAGCCATGGCCGGCCCAGACGAGCGCTCAGCCAATAGTAGCAGGAAGGACCAGGAGTACTACCGCTACTACGGCTACTACTACGCTGACGTCCTCCCAGCGGAGGCGAAGCCTGAGCCCCCCGCTGGAGGCTCTTCGGCGAAGGAGGAGACGGAGACGCCCAGGAGGCCGGCTCCGACACAGGACGAGGTCAAGCAGGGGCCCCCTTCGAGGAGCTCCTTGGCGGAGGAGGAGACGGAGACGCCCAGGAGGCGGGCTCCGACTCGGGATGAGGTCAGGCGGGGAGACCAGGCTGAGGAGGTGCGCACCGCAGAGGAGAGCCCTCCCCCGCCCCCGCCGGGGTCTGGTGGCGTCGTCAACGCCACCGCGGACGACAAGGCACCGCCGCCTCAGGATGCTCATCCACGCGACGCTGAGCCGAGGCTGCCACTCTTCTCCAGGGAGAGAGTCAGCGCGGGAGTCGAGGCGGCGCTGAAGTGGCTGGGAGAGAGGACGGGCTACGCTTTGGGCGCCCTCCTCCACCAGCTCATCGCCTTCATCATGGGTCTTGTGGATTCCATGGGCCGCTACATGCTCGGCGCCTACTGGGCCAAGCTGCAGTGGGCTGCCATAGCCATGGTGGTGGTCGTGGTCGGCACCGTGCTGGGGTCCACCGTGGGCGTTGCGTTCTGGTTCGTGGGCACGGCATGGAGATGCTTGACCCTGCTGTTCTCCACGATGAGGGGCTTTGCGCAGGGCAGCAAGTCGGGGCACGACGTGAAGCTGGCGCTGGACGGCAACACAGCCGCAGCGCTCACCTGGTATGGCAGTGCCGAGGCCCTCGAGATTGGCGATGACTACATCAAGACCGAGGTCCGAGGCCGAGGAGGAGGGGCAGAGAAGACGATGCCCAACGACCTCATCGTCCGTTCGGGAGGCTCCGTGGCTAGACTCGAGCAGGGCCCACTGAAGGGCGGCCGGCTCACTCGCCACGGGTATGTCTACAAGTTCCGGGACGTGAAAAGGAGTTCGCATCGGCACCTGAAGGCGGACCTGGAGGCTACTCGTGACGACGACGGTATCGGGATGGTCCACCTGTGCGCCACTACTCCGTGTACGCTTCCCCTTGGGGACAAGGCGATGGTGCATATTTGCTCGTCGTGCGTCGTGCCCCACAGCTCCCCGATCAATGTGGCGGACCTGGCCAAGCTCTCCCCCGCAGGCCGGGCCCGCGCAGGCGGGAGGCTTTGCTGTGCTTGGGCGGGCCGAGGCGCAGGGAAGGCCATGGGGCGTCTACTCAGGTGCTGTGCCCGCAAGAGGATGAGACACCCCAAGCCGGGGCACCCCACCAGCAAGGCGGAGGAGATGGACCCCAACTCGGAGACAGAGTCGGAGCCCAGCGTTGAAGTCTGCCAGGCCGACCAAGTGGCCTACCTTGCCGAGGGCAGCACGCAGGTCTTGAGCGCTCAGTGCTGCAGGGACACTGCCAGGCAGAGTCCAGTCTTCCTCCTGGTGGAGGATGCTGCTATCTCGGACACTCGCGACCTGCAGGAGGCCGGCACTTGGACTTTCCGCGCGTGCGTGCATCACGCGGGCGCCTACGAGAGCCAGGCAGCTCGGCGGAAGTGCGCGCGCTCACAATGTCACCGCGCCCATGTGATCGAGAAGGACGGCTTCCCGCTGTGCACAGCTCACGCGGCTGATCGCGCGGTGGGCTGGCGGAGCCGGTCCGCGACTCCCCATCGAGATGGCGAGGACGGCGACCAGCGCCCAGGAGGCGCGAGGCCAGAGAGGAGGAGTGATGAGCGCGCGGCTCGTCGCGCGCCGGCGGCCGCCAGCCGCAAGGGCAGCCCAGCCAAGGCCAAGGCGGACGCGGTCTGGCTCGTCCACGTTCGTGGCCCTCTGGCGCCAGAGGGATCGGAGTGGGACGCATACTACAGCTTCCCCGCCCGCTTCGTCGGCCCGACGAAGAACGGCAAGAGCGACGACCTACGTACGGACGTGGAGGCGATGGGCTTGGGGCTGACCTTCTCCGTCTCGGACGGGGCCTTCGCCGCCCCAGGCCCGAGCTGCTCGACGAGTTCGTGGAGGCGCAGCCGCCCGCGATTTGCTGGCGTGCTGGCGCAGCGCTGCGGCTGTCGGACCACGGGGACGGCACGAACTACCGAGGCGACTCCTTGAGCCCCGCATCAGCCATCGCCCTGAGCAAGGACCGCAGCCGGCACCTCATGGCCAAGCGGGCTCGGTCGCGGAGTCGCAGCACTACTCCTACTCGTCGGGATACCCACGACGATTTCGACGCGAAGCTACGCAGAGCCCAGGCACAGGACGAGAAGCAGAAGTGCCAGGACCCGAGGCTAACCCTCGTTGCAGCCTACCTCACCAAGCGCGCCGACGGCCTCACAGACAGCGCAGCCAGAGGAGTCATCTCGGCGGAGAGCGGGATGGGCAAGCACGAGCTGCTGGCGGAGCTGATCGAGGCGGCGGACACGCTGCAGGAGGGAGTGAGCGAGGTTGGTGTCAGTCTCCTTCGAGGGTGCCGCGACCTTTGGAGTCGAGAGTTGGAAGGTGGCGAGGGTAGCCCGCACCCAGGAGCAGCGGACGGGCCGCCACTCCCTCCTCCAGCACACGCTCCACCTGATGGTCACGAAGCGGCAGGAGGAGGCTCGAGGCCGGCAGCCTTGGCGCGGGCTCCTCCCGGAGGCCAGGCGGGTTCGACGCTGCCCCAACCGGGGCTGGGGTTTCTCGGCTTCGGGCAGAGGCCGCCCCCGCGGCCGGAGGCGCGGCCAGGTTTCAACCCGAGCGCGTTCTACGGATCCGGGGGAGCCAGCTCGACTACACCCTGGGCGGCTCCACCGCCCACATCGCCCTCCTTTGTGGAGATGGCGACTCGCCCTAGGGAGTGGCACGCTGGTGCGTCC